TAAAATGAAAACTGAAATAAGTACTTAAACTACTAAAACTGAAATAAAAATAAATGAAAGCAAAAAAAAAAAAATGTCAAGCCCATAAACAAAATAACTAAAACTAAAATGAAAACTGACAATTTAAAAATAAAGCTTATTCAACATATAAAAAATGATTTATTTTGTTTACTATATTGTATATTTCGTCTGGTGTTTCTTCTGAGGCTGTTTCCACTGAGCGAGAGATCTTCAGCTGGAGTATATCTGACATCATGTAACTGAGAATGGAGACGTGTTTATGATTTATGTGTTTTATGCACTTTGATCTTTGTGTGTGATGTAATAAAGATGACTGACATGGTTTGCGTGTAGCATTAAGAAATGAACACAGAACTGAGAGACGAGCAGCCAGTGCTGTGTTCATCTGTCTTATTTATGTGTTAACAAATCGTGTTCTCTCTCTCTCTGTGTGTGTGTGTGTGTGTGTGTGTGTGTGTGTGTGTGTGTGTGTGTGTGTGTGTGTGTGTGTGTGTGTGTGTGTGTGTGTGTGTGTGTGTGTGCGCGCGCGTGTCTCTCTCTGTCTGTCTGTGTGTGTGTGTGTGTGTGTCTGTCTGTGTCTCTCTGTGTGTGTGTGTGTGTCTCTGTCTCTGTCTCTGTCTCTGTCTCTGTCTCTGTCTGTGTGTGTGTGTGTGTGTGTGTGTGTGTGTGTGTGTGTGTGTTCCAGGCCGTTCTTTGAGGGCATGTCCCAGTCGAGTTCTCAGACAGAGATCGGCAGTCTGAACAGTAAAGGCAGTCTGAGTCGAGACGCCGTCAGCCCCGTGAGTAACAAACACACACACACACACAGCTTCGGTTCTCTCACACTCGCATCAGGAAATAACACTGCAAAACACAATGAGTTTCAGATTCCCTGAGCACTCCTGCCTAAACCTGTTGAGCTGAGTGGTGTTTAAAACTGCTTGTAAAAAGAGTGCAAAGCATGTCTCTGTATTAATCTGGAACAGAAGAAAGTATTTTAACATCTAAACATTTATAAGGTGATCTGCATTAGTCTGAAAGCACTCTCTCTCTCTCTCTCTCTCTCTCTCTCTCTCTCTCTCTCTCTCTCTCTCTCTCTCTCTCTCTCTCTCTCTCTCTCTCTCTCTCTCTCTCTCTCTCTCTCTCTCTCTCTCTCTCTCTCTCCATATAACATGTCCTTCGGTGGCACTAAAGGGCCTTTTTGTCACTTTTGGTGCTTTTTATATCAGTTTGAATCAGTCAGATGAATCTTTTTCTGAGTGAACACAATGAATCATTCAGAGCGGTTACTGAATCAGTTTCTTTCGGTGATTAAAGGAACATTTAAACTACTAAAAAATCTCTAAAATATCAAAATATGACACCAAACTACTATTTTCATACTATATTTTATATTATATTTGTAATGTATACCATATATATATATATTTAGTTTGAAGTAGACCACGAGGATTGTAGGAAAGGGGATGATTTGTTTTGTTTTGTTCTTCTAACCATTTTCTGTCCATCTCTGTCATCATTTACTCAAGTTGTTCCAAACCTGGATGAGTTTTTTTCTTCTGTTAAACTAAAAAGACGACATTTTGAATAATGGTGGCAGCCAGACAGTTAATGGTAGCCTTTGACTTCCATAGTAGGAAAATAAATACTCTGAAAGTCAATGGCTACCATCAACTGTAAAACAGCTTGAGAGTGAGTAAATGATGACAGAATTTTCATTTTTGGCTGAACTATCCCTATTAGAAAATTCACCAGCCATAAATATGACCGGCCATGAAACTGTTTTGTGCAAAAACAGGAAGTTATGCCACCAAAATATTAGGTACCAGTAAAAAAGAATCACAATTTTCAGGTACCGAAATTGAAAAAAGTACGCCAACCAAAAGTAAAATAACACTGCATAGTCTTACCTGTATACATGAAACATAGATTAATCCTTATTAATGTTACAAAAGTTATTCAGTGAGCAGTGAGTGTTTTTTAACATTAAAATATTATTAGGCTGCCGTCACTTTAAGCCCTAATGCACAGATCCAGTCTACATTCTGTACATGTGCGTTTAACTCTTTATGCTCATTTAAGACATAACCTCCTGTGTTTACCTGGATACTCGCTGAGATGGGCCGTTTTTGACATCATTTTGTGTGAATTTGTCCGTTCAAGCACAAGAAGACGTGAAAGAGAGCTTAATTTAGTGTTTGTGTGCTGTCTGAGATGCGCGCTTCGGATGTTTAAACTTGCCACGCAGTGTGTGAGTAACAAAATGAGCTCCTGTTTGCGCTTGAATATTTAAATTGGAAATGCTTAAACGTTCGTGACGATACCTGTCCTGAGCGGCGTTCATATTCATGCTCTCACAATATAAATGTTACCGGCCAACTGGTGATCGACATCATTTCATACACTCGCCAACGCCGATTTTTACTGCATTTGGTGCTTGGCGAGTGTTAATTTTAGGCCTTTTTGTGAGTGTTTAATACAGGGGTGTCCAAACGGCCACTGTCCTGCATAGTTTAGCCTTAATTAACCACACTTGAACCAGGCAATTGTGCTGTAATCCCAGGTGTAGGCTGATCCTGGCCCTCCAGGAGTCGGATTGGACACCCTTAGTAGGTGTGTGTGTGCGTATGGTGTATGTGATTGTAGTTTATGTGTGTGTCCAGCAGGGGGAGCAGCCGCCGTCAGATAAACTCAAACACTCGCGCAGCCGTAACCTGGACGAGCCGCTGTCCGAGACCGACACGCTGGTGAGACACACACATACATGCATATGTTTACATTACATATGGAAAAAATCTAACTAAATGTCATTTATTTTAAAATAAAGATAGTACAAGCACACTTTTCATGCAAAACATTTGTTAAAAAGGTGTTTATTACACTAAAAACACCAGTTGATTCAAAGCAAAATATCATAAATAAGTCACATTTTCACCCTGTCCTAATTCTTCCGGCTCAGTGTGTGTTTTGCTCACTTGAATTCTTCTGGTTATTATGTTTTAATGCTCTTTTGTGTCGACTGTGTGCAGGAACTGAATGATCAGGAGTTGTTCGCTGATGTCGGCCCCTGTATAACAGTGTCTGTGGCTGAAAAACCACGGACACCCTTAAAAACCAGCAAGAATGAGATTCAGGCCATGCCGTCGCCCAGGTCAGACCGCCAACACACATCTTCAGGAATAGCATGCGGCGTTGGGGACTAGCTAACAATAACTTAACTACGCTTTTCAGGAGCTTAACAGTAACTCAGTTGCTTTAGAAACAGTGTAGCTTTTCCAGTCGCTAACTACTTTTTCCAACGCGTGGTCGTCTTAATAGATCACTAACTAAAACTGTGCGTTACAAGAGATCGTCTGATGATTACGCAGGCTAAAGGACGTGGAAAAGACTTGACGTTCACGCACATACAGCTGAATTATAGCCTTTTTAAATTGATTGATTAACCAGTTTTATTTCACTCTATATCAAATGTCAGTATCTGATTTAATAACAATGATGACCCGCCATAGTTGAATCGGTCCCGCTACAGTTTTGTAATGAACCTAAAAGAGCGAAGCATCTGTCAATCAAACCGAAATCAAAGGTCTGTGATCTGATTAAATAGTTTGCGACAGAGTTTAACCTGCATTTTTCTCCACTCCTGTGTATCCAGTATACGTTGCATACATTTTGTTCTTGCATTGATGTTATATCAGTTGCAATTTTGTAGGGATGCGCGATATATCGCCCAGCATATCGGTATCGGCCGATATATGTTAATTTGTAATGTTATCGTTATCGGCCCCGATAAGATATTTTGGCCGATATCTTAAAGCCAATAAATAATGTATTATTTCCTTCAGCGGAGACACTTCAGATCATCATGATGGGTTTGAATTGATTGAAATCACTTCAGAAAAGGAAAATACAGCACAAGTCTGTCATACAGCCTACATAAAATTATAATGAGAACGTTATAATTGTGTGCTTGAGACTTTGTTTTTGTAATCAGTCTCTCAAAAATGATTTAGATTCATCGGATCGATCGGTTATCGGCTTTCAAATATGAAGAGTTATCGGTTATCGGCTTTCAAATATGAAGAGTTGTCAGTTATCGGCGTTCAAATATGAAGAGTTGTCGGTTATCGGCTTTTAAATATGAAGAGTTGTCGGTTATCGGCTTTCAAATATGAAGAGTTGTCGGTTATCGGCTTTCAAATATGAAGAGTTATCGGCTTTCAAATATGTAGAGTTATCGGTTATCGGCTTTCAAATATGAAGAGTTGTCAGTTATCGGCGTTCAAATATGAAGAGTTGTCGGTTATCGGCTTTTAAATATGAAGAGTTGTCGGTTATCGGCTTTCAAATATGAAGAGTTGTCGGTTATCGGCTTTCAAATATGAAGAGTTATCGGCTTTCAAATATGTAGAGTTATCGGTTATCGGCTTTCAAATATGAAGAGTTGTCAGTTATCGGCGTTCAAATATGAAGAGTTGTCGGTTATCGGCTTTTAAATATGAAGAGTTGTCGGTTATCGGCTTTCAAATATGAAGAGTTGTCGGTTATCGGCTTTCAAATATGAAGAGTTATCGGCTTTCAAATATGTAGAGTTGTCGGTTATCGGCTTTCAAATATGAAGAGTTGTCAGTTATCGGCATTTAAATATGAAGAGTTGTCAGTTATCGGCATTTAAATATGAAGAGTTGTCAGTTATCGGCGTTTAAATATGAAGAGTTGTCGGTTATCGGCTTTCAAATATGAAGAGTTGTCGGTTATCGGCTTTCAAATATGAAGAGTTGTTGGTTATCGGCTTTCAAATATGAGGAGTTATGTGTTATCGGCTTTCAAATATGAAGAGTTATCGGTTATTGGCTTTCAAATATGAAGAGTTATCGGTTATCGGCTTTCAAATATGAAGAGTTATCGGTTATTGGCTTTCAAATATGAAGAGTTATCGGTTATCGGCTTTCAAATATGAAGAGTTATCTTTCAAATATGAAGAGTTATCGGTTATCGGCTTTCAAATATGAAGAGTTATCGGTTATCGGTATCGGCCAACGTTTTGCACTTTGACAGTCAGTTTGAGATATATATATATTTGAGTATTGTTCTTTGTATCTTTGGATAATTTACAAAATAAAACAATCCTCTTTGAAATCATATTTGTATTGCATTATGTTGTTGTAAACCCCATCTTGTAGCGTAGCTAACTACTTTTTCTGAAGATTAGCTTGAATGTCTCTTAACTGCTTTAACTTGTCTGTGTGTAAGCGTAACCAAGCAGGTTTGATCTAGATTGAAGAGCTTCTAGGCTAGGAGTACAGTCAGAAACGCACAGAAATGATGGTGTGTGTGTGTGTGTGTGTGTGTTGCAGGCTGGATGGAGGACACACACCCCGTAAGCGCTGCACTCCTGTGAAAGACCGACAGCTCTCCAAGCCTCTGGGCGAGCGCACCAACAGCTCGGACAGCGAGAGATCCCCTGAGCTCGGACACAGCACACCGGTACAGCTCCATGCACTCGCTTACAACTCACTTTAGCTCCATCTTGATTCAGTTCAATTCGATTTTGATTCATTTTGGATGTTTATCAGGTCCAGTATGTACATTTTCTAGTGCTGGGTAACGATTAATCGCATCCAAAATAAAAGTTTGTCTTTACATAATATATGCGTGTGTGCTGTGTATAATTATTTTGTATATATAAATACACACACACATGCATGTATATATTTAATAAATATTTACATGTATATACTGTATATATATTTGTATATCAATTATATAAATAACAATTTTTTCTAATAAGTTTTCTATACAAAATAATTATACACAGAGTTTCTGGACATTGAACGACTTTTCTGAGACGTTGTTTACAAGCTTCATGCCAAAAATAATGTTTTTGTTTAAGCATCAGCTGAAAACAGCATAGACTAAAAGATTGATTCTTAGGATTTAAGAGTCAATATTGGTTCATCAAAATGAGCATCAGCTCAAATCGAGATGAGAACTGAGTGTGTTAAACGCAGGCCTGCGGTGTACCGTGGTGTTTATCCAGCGCTTGTGTCTCAGAGCGAGGTTCTCCTCGATTCTCTCACTTCTCTCATTCATTTCCGTGGTTTAAATAAGGAATGTTAATGCAGTGTTTCATCTTGTTCTGCAGAGTCACTGTGAATTATTCATGTTCAGCTGACTCATCCCTGTGTGTGTGTGTGTGTGTGTGTGTGTGCGTGTGTGTGTGTGTGTGTGTGTGTGTGTGTGTGTGTGTGTGTGTGTGTGTGTGTGCAGGTCCTCAGGAAGGCTGTCTATGATCAGTTGAATCAGATTCTGTTATCTGACGCTGCTCTTCCTGAAAGTCTCATCCTGATCAATGGCACAGACTGGCAAGGACAGGTATGTGTGTGTGCGTGCGTGCGTTTTTTTATGTGTGTATGTGTGAGAGAGAGAGTGTTTGTGTTTTTGTATTTGCATTTGTGTTTGTTGTGTGTGAGAGAGTGTTTTTGTATTTGCATTTGTGTGAGTGTTTGTTGTGTGTGAGAGAGTGTTTGTGTTTTTGTATTTGCATTTGTGTGAGTGTTTGTGAGAGAGAGTGTGTGTGTGTGAGAGAGAGTGTGTGTGATAGAGTGTGTGAGAGAATGTTTTTGTGTTTGCATTTGCATTTGTGTGAGTGTTTGTTTGTGTTTGTGTGAGAGTTTGTATGAGTGTGATCTGAAGTGTGTGTGTGTGTGTGTGTGTGTGTGTGTGTGTATTTGTGTATTGTATATACACGCATGTAAAAACCAATCTGAAATCATGAACAGATCTGAAGTGTGTGTGTGTGTGTGTATTTGTGTATTGTATATACACGCATGTAAAAACCAAACTGTAATCATGAACAGATCTGAAGTGTGTTTGTGTGTGTGTGTGTGTGTATTGTATATACACGCATGTAAAAACCAATCTGTAATCATGAACAGATCTGAAGTGTGTGTGTGTATTGTATATACACGCATGTAAAAACCAATCTGTAATCATGAACAGATCTGAAGTGTGTGTGTGTGTGTGTGTATTGTATATACACGCATGTAAAAACCAATCTTTAATCATGAACAGATCTGAAGTGTGTGTGTGTGTGTATTGTATATACACGCATGTAAAAACCAATCTGTAATCATGAACAGATCTGAAGTGTGTGTGTGTGTGTGTGTGTATTGTATATACACGCATGTAAAAACCAATCTTTAATCATGAACAGATCTGAAGTGTGTGTGTGTGTATTGTATATACACGCATGTAAAAACCAATCTGTAATCATGAACAGATCTGAAGTGTGTGTGTGTGTGTATCGTATATACACGCATGTAAAAACCAAGCTGTAATCATGATCAGATCTGAAGTGTGTGTGTATGTGTGTGTGTGTGTGTGTGTTGTATATACACGCATGTAAAAACAAAGCTGTAATCATGATCAGATCTGAAGTGTGTGTGTATGTGTGTGTGTATGTGTGTGTGTGTGTTGTATATACACGCATGTAAAAAACCA